TTAAAGCTCCCAGGTCACACTTCCTCTCTGAGGGAGGTCAGGCCAGGAACCTTGGAGGCAGGAACCGAGGCAGAGGCCATGAAGGATGCTGCTTATTGACTTGCTCCTCTTGACCTGCTTTATCAGAAAATCCAAGGCATCGGTCCAGTGGCAGCAGAGCTTCAGTTGTCTGGGCCCTCCCACATCCATCATGAATCAAGAAGATGACCCACAAACAGGCCCACAGGCCAAGCTGATGGGAACATCTTCTCAACTGAGGGTCTGTCTTCCCAAATGACTCTACTAGTGTCAAACTGAGAAAAACAAAAACAAAATTAACCATGACAATTATTCTGTTTTTCTTTTATCAGAGGAATTAACAGGGAATCTTGTTTCCAAGCCATTAAGAGGAAAGTGGACCTTTTGTTAGTGATCCTCTTATTTCTTACCTGCCTCCTCCAAAAGAATATTTTCCCATTTTTAAATATTAGTAGCTTTAATTTCTCCTATATCACAAGTCATATATGTTTCTCATAGAAAATTCTGAGAATATGACAAATGGAAGGGACACATTTAGAAATGCTCACAGTTTTGTCAGAGATACCACAGATCAAATGTTTATCACATCGCTTCAAGCTTTGCTTCCTGTATTTTTTTCTTTAAGTAGAAGTTGGGTTGATGTATATATTGATGTATGTATTACTGTATAATCTTCTTTGCTCATCTAGGGTATTCCAGCATTGCTAATTATTCTTCCCAATATTAGTCTAAATGTTTAAGACTCCATTGTATGGACTTAAAATGTTTTACCCTACTATGGGTCATATATTTCCAACTTCTTATTGCTGTAAAAAGTCCTTGAATTTTCTTCTTTTTTGGCACATTTGTGACCAGCCCTTTGAGATTAATTTCTAGAGATTAAATTAGTGGGTCAGATGATATGAACATTTGAACACACTCTATGTATTGCCAAAGTCCCTCTGGAGGGACTGACTCCGCGGGAATGAGCCTGCATGAGCTCCCTTGCCTGTTGGTCCTTTCTTAGTTTTTATCCATTTAGTAAGTGAACAATAGCATTTTGTTACCGTGATGTTACTGTGTTCTAAGTCTTCCATTGGAATATATTCCTGTTCAGGTCTCTCCGCCATTTTCATTTGTGTTCTTTGCCTAGTTTCTATTTTTTTGTGTTCCTAATTAACTTACAGCAAGTAACACATTAGCTATCAAGGGCACAGCACCGCTAAATACGCATTGCAAACTTTGTTCTTGGTTTGACATTGGCTTCTCGCGCATGGGTGAGTCACAGAAACTATTCCATTGTGCGTCAACTCTCTTTCGTCTGCTGTGAGTTTGTGGGTCAGAGTGTTGTGCAGGTCACATAATCTTTGAGGCATCTGCTGCCTCTCTCACAGATTTAGTTTTGCAAACAGCTTCGTATCTAATTAGATTTGCTATCACACCGAACCCAAGGAAAAACTCTAAATTTTATAGATTTAATATCGCACTGGCTAGTGACTGAGTTTTATGCATCAGTTCCCCACAGCATGACATATACAACCTTCTTTCTGAACCTTAGGTCTCATCTCCAACCATGTCCATTTCTGGACCTTGCTTCCCCCCAACTCTTTGTCTACCTATTTGCTAGTATAATACGGGTTTTTATTTGCCACATCTTTCAATGTCTAACATCAGTGCTCTCCTTGCCAACAAAACTTTCTTATAGCATGGTTATGGAACTATATAAAGTTAGAAGTTATGTTGGCTGGGATGCACAGAATTTCTTTAAGACTTTAAATGTTTTGAGCTATAATTTGTGTTGGATGTCAATTTGTCATTTTCGCAGAATCTTTGAGAAATGTCTTTACACGGGTTTGCACTGGTCATCTCTGCCACAGCTCTTTTGTGACACGTGGTGGCTTCTCCTGAGAAGCTGCTGTGGCTTGAGCCATACTGTAGGTTGAGTCAGCATGTTAGGAAAAGTGTTTGTTAGAATGACATACATGCTGAGTATAAGTGGGATGGCATGTGTGTGTGTGTATACATGTGTGCATTTGTGTGTACATGTTTTATATGTGTGTGCACATGTGCATTCGAGTGTACATGTGTGTATGCATGAATACATGCGGGTATGTGTGTATATGTGCATGCATGTGTGTACATGAGTTATTTATGTACATATGTATGTGCATATGTGTGTACACGTGTACATTTGTATGTGCATGTGTGTACATGTGTTATGTGTGTGCATGTGTATATGAGTGCATATAAATGTATGTGTGTATGTATTTGTACATGTGTGCATGTGTGTGTACATATTATGTGTATGAACATGTATGGATTCTGCTTACACTTGGAGAACCTTCTCTGATGGCTTGCGCAAGAGCAAGCCAGTCAGCATTCCATCATGGAGTGGAATCATCATCCCCCACCTCTAGCTGAGGAGTTATTGACAACTGAGGGCTTCTAGGGAAGGGAGAGTCAGTTTTCATTGAGGTGTGACCCCTGGTAGGTGGACTACTATTTAGTGGGTGGGACCCCACCCATGAGCATGTGAGCAGCACAAATTGGACTTAGTAGATTATTATTATTTTTTTTTACAAAAAGACATGACATCTGGAGGGATTGTTGAGGTCAAGGGAGTTGAGGTCAAGAGTCCCTAGATTCTATCTAGGGAGTTAGAGTGTGGAGCAAGGTGTAAATAATCAAGATATACTACATGCATCTATGAAATTCTCCGAGTTAGTAACAATATCTTTTTTTTTTTTTTAGAAAAAGAGTCTTCTCTGTTACCATGCTTGAATGAGGCTATTGCAACAACAGAAGCTAGGGTCTCTTTTTGGAGTCTAAGTTGAGGATTTAATGTTGCAGAGGTTAGACTATGGTCAACCAGAACCTCCTGACTCTCAGCCTTTCTTTGACTTATAAATCTGATATTAAGGGAAGGGGGCATTCTTATATTGCCTTATATTTTATTGATGCTAAAGCCAAAGCTGGAAGAGGATATTAGGATTGGAAGCACAAACAAGATCCAGTTCCAGTGATGAGCCCTTCATCTTGTCTAGGACAGTGAAGTGGTCCAATTTCTCACCATAACATGAAATTCTGCTCTCCTTTCCAATGTTCTTTTTACTTGTGTTTGCAAACATGGTAGAGATTTATTTGGGAGTGTCTTTCTCCATAGCTTTTTAAATCAGTATTGCCTAAGCCTAAGTATTCCTTAGAGAGAAGCTCTCCCTTCTTTCCTTTTCTTTTTCTTATTATAACTTTGACTTATGATTCTGCTATAAAGTTGACATACTGGGGGCCGGAGAGACAGCTCGGTGATTAAGAGCACCCACTGCCCTTGCAGAGGATCCAGGTTTGGTTCCCAGCACCCATACGGAGAAGCTCACAATTGTCTGCAACACCAGTTCCAGGGGATCCAGTGTCCTCTTCTGGAATCCTTGGATACCTGCACTCATGTGCACATACCCACACAGGAATAGAAATAAGAAAACAAATCTTTAAGAAGAAAGACAACATATTGTACATACTGCCTGTGAATGCCATAGGCGCAGTCGAGATGCAGGGGAGACAGGGTAGTGTCTATCTCGGGGCACCAAAGCTTCTGGCCTTCAGTTCACCTTGTGTTTAGTTGTTGGTGCTGTTTCTTTGCATCTCACTTGCTCTTTTGGAGCAAGCTTAGCCACGAATAATGAGCTTTTCTCTCTGATGTAACTTGGTGGAGTATGTGCCATGAGGAGGTGGGGCCCTTTGCTGTTTAAACCGCCTTTATTTTTCTTGGAAATTACCACACTTAGCCTTTGGCTCCCCTCAAGTCATTATTTAATGTTAATATTGTTAATATTGGTGGTTTTTCTCTGAGCATTATGTCAGGGGAGGCTGAATTTCAGCTTTATTTCCCAAGCGCACTGAAGGTCCAGAGAGGGAGGTGATCTTCTGAATGTTAATCAGCTCCTGCGCAGAGTGAAGAAGTAGCTCATGGGGAGGGCAATATTGTGCTCTTAGCCCTGGACATCAAACCTCTAGGGCATGGGAGTTGCCAGGCAGCACGCAGTTCCAGATAGGGCTTCTTTTCAGGGTAAAAAGAAGCTTCCCATTCTGCGTTGACTCCCTACCTTGATGCCTGCCTTCGTGGACTCGTAGTGGGAGGAGCATTCTGTCTTCTCACATGGTCTTCCTTTCCTCCAATGGGATCATTGCCACAATAGCTGTCTATGTATCTATTCCACCTAGGTGGGGGAGAATATTATCACATTTTTTTTTATTTCTCTCTTTCATTTTATTGGCATCTATCTATCTATCTAGCTAGCTAGCTAGCTAGCTAGCTAACTAGCTATTGTATGAAGTATTCAGTTTCAGATAGATGAGTTCTTTCAAGGCTGTTGACCACACTCACCCTCCTTCTGCTTCAGGGTCATATCTATGCCTATATACATATACATGCATGCATACAATGACTTTATGCACCTCTAAAGAACTGTCGCTACTACATCTGAGAAAACACACACTATCATCTCTCTGTATCTGACCTATTTTGCTTAACATGATGGGTCTCTGATAGGCCAATCAGAAAATGGACTGAAGGGGCACATGATCATTCTCTAAAGAGGTATGAATGGGTGTGCCACACTTGTGAAAAAAAATTTCCTCTACCTTAGCTGTAAGATAAATGCGAATTAGAACAATACTGACAGTCTTTCTCACCCCGGTCAGAATACTTATCACCAATAAAATAAAATAAAATAAAATAAAATAAAAAATAGCAATAGCGGATGCTGGCAAGGATGTGGAGGGAAAGGAGTGCTTCCACATGGCCGGCATGAAGTGTAAATTGACCCAGCCACTATGGAAATAAATAGGAGGATCCCTCAAGTCTGTTGTTTTTAATCACTGGTACTTGGACCAATACCCGGGAGTTAATAATTTCTCAAGCAAATTGTGGAGAATGTGTATGTTGAGAAAAAAAAAAGGTTTCTCGATGAGCCTCCTCCTAAAGCGTGTCACGCCTTTGCTTCCAGTCATGTCCTCGAGCCCCACCGTCGGATCCTCCAGCACGTCCTCCATCCTCCCGTTTTCCTCTTCAGTTTTTCCTGCTGTCAAGCAGAAGAGTGCCTTTGCCCCTGTCATCAGGCCCCAAGGCTCCCCTTCGCCCGCCTGCTCCAGTGGCAATGGGAACGGATTCAGAGGTAAGAGAAGGGACCGGCCGCTTTAGGGGTGCATGTGACCTAGTGTCCTGGGGCAGGCAAAGGAAGGGCAAGCATCCCAGCTTTGCCCTCTAGCTCTGAGCGCTCGCCTACAGAGTTCCTGGAACTTTCATGGTGGGACATGAATGGCAGGGATGCTGGTCTGATGCTTCCCCTAGTCCTGGGTTAGCATGGGGGTGAATGATGGCAAGCCGGGCATCTGCAGGACATGGAGTCAGTGGTGGCAGAACCACATGTTCAACCCAGGGACACCTGGGCAGCCCAGACTTGTGCTTTCCATAGGGCCATTCACGGTTTCTGGAAGGTACCTGTTCGCCCTTTCAGATGCCTTGTGGTTATTTCTTATCTAGCTGGCTTTACCATCTGTACTTCATGTTCGTTCCCATGGCACACATGGAAGGATCCATCAGGAGCAAACACTCTGGCTATGTGCTGGCCAAATTGATAGCAGGTGCCTGATCAAGGGGTGAAGTAGGGAAGGAAGAGGGGGGAAAAAAGCCATACCGTTTCTAAGAACAAAAAAATTAATATCGCCCGTCAAACCCACTTTTGAGCAACGTCCTAAGATGTAATATGACATGACGTAACACAAATGTGATGAGTACATGAGAATCTAATCATCCCGCTGAGAATGGGAGGCAGCCGATGGCAAGAGAGCAAATTGGAACCTGCTGAGCGCCGCGGCTCACTGGTGACCCGCGTTATTTTTGGCTGTTTCTCATGTCTTGACATGGAAACATTTACGACAGGCAGCGTTGGTCAGCAGAGCTTTGTGGGGACCTGGGATGGGCTGTGCCCTTCTGGGGACCCCAGCTCTCGGTGGCTTGCTGAAAGCGTATGTGTTCCAAATCTTCGGTGGGGGGGTTACCCGTGAGGGTCGCAGAGGGAACTTGAAAGGCATGTCGGGTTTCCAGCCCCAGGGACTGTGACATTTTGACAGAGACGACAGAGAAACTGTCAGAGCCATTACTGGAACCCCAGCTCTTAGAACAGCCACTGAACATTCCTCCCAAAGAAGCTGGGCTATAGAAGCCCATGCCACCCAACATGTGGGTAGTTGGAAACATCTGTATATTGGATGGAACTTTTTTTTTTCCATCCAGATGTCTAAGCCGTAGAGCAGCAGCACAGCTTGTAACTGAGTGTCTCCACCCACCCTGTCTCTCATCAAGCACCCCCCAGGCTCCATCTTGTCACTCAGAGCAGGATTAGAACTTTCTCCACGAGGGCCGCGTTCACATCTTGGGAAATAAACACCACGGGGGCCCTAGCAGGTGCCCCCTACCTCCTCACATCCTGGTGGTGAGGATGTCTCTGCTCCTCAAGCTCCCTGTCTTCATTCATTCATCAATGTTGAGCCAAAAGGGGAATAGAGTGAGGAAATTGAGGCTCCGGCTTCACGATCCGTAGTGTAGACCATACTCCCTGAAATGTGCCCTGTAGAAAAGGCACTGCCCCAATGCTCCACACACATATCCTGCTTCAGACCAGCCCATTCTCCTGATTTAGTTGAACCACTGATTTGAGGCCACACAGCAAGCGACTGATGGCTTGAATCCAGGCACTCGGCAGGCTCTGGCAGCACACTGTCTCTCCAGGAACGGTTCTGGTGGTCTTCTGCTCTTTGTCCAGCCTTCACTCGTATCTACTTTACTACCAGGACAGAGGGAGGGAATTTGCTTTTCTGTGAAACACCCAAGGTGAGAAGGACCTGGATAAAGTGCAGATAAACATCTATCCACCATGAAAGTCACCGATGAAAAGGTCCCTCCTCCCCCATGGTTTCTCTAAGTACAAAGTCAAGGTCACTATCTAGTGAAATTCCAACCCATCTTGTGTTGGGTGGACCAGGAAAAAGGGCATGAATGAAATCTGCTGTTCTGAGCCTTTGGGCCTCTGCGATCTACAGGAAAGGAAGAGCTATAGAGGACTGGGTGGGATCGGGAGCAAGAGAGGAGGAGTATGAGTCAGGCTTCTATCCCCCAAACACTGTGCTTACAGCATTTTTCTGTCCCACCCTCTGCCTTACTCATGAGGCATTTACAGTTGATGAATATAGATTGTCAAGGTGATATGATATGCTACGTGTCTGATTCATTTTCTAGCTCCCTCCAGAAACACACACACACACACACACACACACACACACACACACGCACACACACGCTTCCTACACTCCTGGATAATTACAGCGGTTGTTATATATCCAAGTCATCAGGGAATGTCCAGAATTGAACTGCCTTTATTGAAAACTTACATCGATTCAATATATAGTAATACAGGCAAAAATAATTAAGGCTTTGCTAGCTGTGTAAGACCTTAATCCAGATCTCACAAACATTCAATAAAGGCTGTATGGGCAGGGAAACAGACAGCTGACAATTTTGCCCGAGAGAACTAGCTGGGGTAGGAAAGGAGGGGGAGGGGAAGAGAGGAGAAGACAGGAAGGGGAGAGAAAGAGAAAGAGCATGAATGGCCAGAATTTTGGCTATTTGCTTGGAAGCGTCGTGGTGAGCATAACTCAGAAGGATACTTGTATGAGTCGTTGTTTCCCTCGACACAATATAGACAAGAGAAATCCAGGAACAAATGCCAGAGACAGTCAAAAGTTTGGATACAAGGGAACTTGCCGTCACTTTCCACAGCCGTAAAAATCCTCTGGGCTTGTTACAGCGCAGCAAAGATAGAGGGATGCGTTTTGCTATGTGATCCCCTACTTTGTCCATGCCCTACACAGAGGGAAAAACATTGGGCTTGACTCTCCCCAGACACATCCACAACCTCTTCACTCGGTGGAGGAGGCAGTGGATGATGTCTTTGGATAGGGCGTGGGTAGTTGGGACTGGATGGAAACTAGTAACGAAATGAAGTCTTTTCCAAAGACCAGCATTTCTAGGTGACTATGGCCACATACCATCAGTGAGCAGTGAATAAGAACGGATTACTTTTTTTAAAAAATAGATAAAGCACTAATCTAGTTTAGGGGAGAATGTTCATGAAGACACTTAGGGTGGAGAGAACCCCCGAGTTGTTATAGCTGATGCCTAAAAAGCCAACAGGCTCAGCATTTACTTCCCTTCTGGCTCCACCCAGTGATGTGGGACATGTCTGTTGCAATTTGGTTTGTACGTTTACTTCTGTTGTCCCAAGATGTCTCCTTAATAGACAAAAATGACAAAGGCCTTGCCAAACAAACACGGGGACCTGATGTAGGTCACCAGCTCCGAAGCTTCTGTTAGCTCAGTCCTGGAGAAAACCCACTCACGTATGTACCGCTCCCCTGCTCCCTGGGCTGTATTAGACTCTCTTGCTTCCACACCTGCCCTCCTCCCCCATCAGCTTTTCCACAAAAAGTCTTGATGTTTTAACCCTGTGCCGCTCTTTCCTTGCAGCCATGACGGGACTTGTTGTACCCCCAATGTAAAGAAGAGGAAGAACTGCTTTCTCATAGCACAAAACTACTTATTTCGATGGACCAATTATGAAGGAAGCACTCTGAGCTCACTGGGGAGAGTTGCGCCCCTGAGTGGCCACGTTGGACAGATTTGGGAAGGCAAGGAGCCGCCATCTTGGTCTCATGTTCCTCACGAAGCACTGACAGTAACTACACAAGCAAGGACAGAAAGACGTCATGGGCGTGGTCAGTGCTAAGAGTAGAAACGCAATTCTTTGTTATGAACATTATGAAAACCACCTTCCTATGTTTGTAAAATATTGAAGAAAATCATTGGCAAACATTCATGCTTAATATTTTGGATACTATTTGTTTTTCTTTGTAGGAAAAAAAAGTTGAAAGTTTCTATTTTCTATGAATCCTTTCAGATACCAATTTAGTTTATGCAGGAAAAAAAATTGAACAAAACAGGGTACCAGCATGGGAGACTTTCTTAAAAATGAAACCTGAATTGAATGAGGAAATGTTGTATGTGTGTTCGCTTATACCTTAAGCTCTTTAAAAGAAAAAACAAAAAAGGGAAAAAAAATTTAAAATGTTTTACAGTTATTTAAATAAATAAACGTGTAACTTATTGTAAGTAGAAGTAGAAATAAAGACTTTTTTTTTTTTTAGAAGAGAGGAATCTCTCTTCCTGATGTAAAATGGAATCGACACAAACAGGTAGTGACGAGTTTTAATGGTGTGTGGTTATTACAGTTGCCTATTAGATTCTTATCCCATATCCCTCTTTTCCATCGTTTTATCAACCCATACACAAGAATGCTGTAGCTTGAGTGGATTCCCACAAAGCAATCCGCTGCAAAACCAGACTCAGAGAAATGCTGGAACACAAATGCTCCAACCTGTCCCTTCGTTCCCAGACCTGCTTTCTGAAGAGTTCACAGATCGGTTGTGGTGTCCACCCTTGGTGCAGCGTTTTCAAAACTACATTCTTTCCTGAGCAATGCAGGGCATGCCCATGTTACCTCTCAGCCTTGACTATCCCTAGATAAGGACTGTCTCTTTGAAGGACCAAAGTCGCGTGACTGTGCTGTCCACGGGCTCAGTAGAACTCCTTGACAGAGCTGTATGGTCCTTCCTCTTCCGGTGCCACAGAACTTTGCAGAAAGAGGTTGGGGGATTAGCTGTGTTCCTTGGACTCTTAAGACTTAGTCTTTGACTGTTTCCTTTCTATGCAGGGCTTTCCTTTTGTGTGATTAAAGTTCCTTGGAAAAACTTGTATCTGTGAGGAGTGGGGTAGGGTGTAGAAGAGAGTCCTCAAAATTCCTCAAGCTTCTCTCTTTCTGCCCAAAGACATGGACACTGGGATTCCTTGGAGATTGAGAGATTAGTGGTAGCTGTGTTATGAGCTGTGCAGTTACCCAGCCTGCCCTGGGAGCCCTGTGCTGCCTACCTAGTTCTTAGGAAGGGAAACCCTGTAGTAGTTTCTAACCACGGTAGACCCTTGAAGATGTGTGTGGTCCTAGAGATGCATCTAGACTTGCGTGGCTTGACAATAGGATGTCATGATTTCCAGGTCAGGTATCTTCTCCTTGTTTCCACAGACTTAGCTCGGGCTTCTTGGTTAGGCTTCTGGCATTGAAAATTGATACAGCTTTTATGGGGGAAAACATCTTTCGTGCTTCCGAGCCAATTTTAGATGACCCTCTCATTGCCCATTGGCACACACCCTCACTTACCCAACCCTCAGCTGTCAGAGTTGCCTTTCGCTTGCTCTGGAATCACCCAATAGGACACTTTTCCCCCTAGCACATGAGAATCCACAATTTTTGGACCCGGCAAGCTCATAACTTCTGCTGACAGTCCTTCATAGTCAGGGCCCCCAGCGCCAAAATATTCGGAAATGCATGAGAACAACCGCCCTGGCTAACAACCTGGTACCGGGGAAAGAATGCGTGGACTACGAACCTTACCATCCCAAAATGGAGGCCGAGCAAAATTAAGCATGTTTAGACCTGGATTTGAGCCAATCCAACATAAGGACATTTTTTTTTTCTTAAGTAGTAATAGCTTTTAGAACCTGTGAATCTTTCTCTTGCATGAAGATTAGTGCAGTACTGTCTTCAGAATGATCGTAGAGTCTGTCGGTAGTTTTACACCGAAGACTGTGTGTAACTAAATACCGGACATCTTTGACCATTCACTAGGACCTCGGCAGCCACAGACCTATTTAATTGTACAAACGTGTGTAAGGATTATTTTTAGTGTACTAATAACTTAAAAACGAAGCCACTCTGTCCTCTTTAGTCATTGCTATGAAATGATTCTGGTCCCAGGTTATTTTTGTGCTACTTGGCAGACAGGTATCTCTATAGGTAATGACAAAATTCTGTTCTATTTTTGGAGAGGAACCGTGTAAGATTTTTCATTTAGGTGGACAATTGACTGCATTATTTATCTCATTTCTTTTGTTACGGCATCGAAATTCTTCCCAGTTTTTCTTTGCACATTTCAACATGCATGGTTAAAAACCATTATCTTTACCTTTTGTACAGTAAGGTCTCATTTCCAAACTGTATAGTTTTGTTGTTTTTTGCTTTGTCAGTTACATACAGTATAAAGTTGCTATGCAGAGCTTTTTGTAAAGACAGCTTTTTTTTGTTTACTGTTTTTAATGGTCTTCCTTATGAAAGAATATCTTGTTTGTAAAATGAATATGTCTACTTCAGTTTTAAACTTTAAATTATCCTAACAAAAAAATAAAATTTTTGTACTGTAAAAATAACCTTTGCCTTTTTTGAGGGAGAAATTCAGTTTGGGAGCTGTTCTTTTTTTGGGGGGGGTTTCACTTTGGGGTCTAGTCACCCAACTTTTCTTCTGGGTAAGAAATACTTACCAAAACTTTTGCATAAATGAAAGTATGATATCAAGGTGATTAATTAGAAATGATGTTAGGCCAATTCTCTGCATGTATTTGTCTTATATCCATAGACCAAATTCTTTCAGAATCCTTCCCTGACTCACGGGATTCTGTTTGTTCTGTTGGATGCGCTGGGTACATGGAATTCTTGAGGTTGGTAGTCTACTGTGGGTTGAAATCATCTATCAAACAAATATAGATTGACACATTGGACCCTGGGTGAAGAAGTGGAGGTACCAAACTCAATGCCTACCCTTAAATCACAGGAAAGGAGCACGACCCATTTCCCTGGAAAGAAACAGTCAAAGGATAGTCACACAGGGAGGCAGAAGGGCTGCTGGCCTTACAGAGGCTTGGTAACTCGGCAGTGACTTCTCACTTGGCGACGAATCTTGGTTCTCCCGCCCGGTGATAGAAGCAAGGAGCAAAGAAACCCAGCATACTCAACTTCACCATCTTTGAAGACGAGGAATTTCAGTGTTTGGGCGTGCCTTGAGGTCCTTTATCACCTACATCTCAAGGACTTCAGCTCTGTCTCTCAAGCGCTGAGGAAAGAGACAGGCAGGGCATAAAATTTACTCTGCCTGTAGGCAAAAGAATGGCTAGCAAATGGGACCATTATGTAGCCTTGTGCCTGTCAGTCCAGTGAAAATTGGGGTAGGAAAATAGATACCGGGCCTGAGAGGTAGTTTTCTGGCATTCATGAGCTTGGTAGGAAGTAGCCCGTGCAGGGGACGTCGCAGTCCCAGCTCTCAGGAGCTGACAAGTCCCCACAGCAGTTCAGGTTTTCTCCATTTAAGAGGTTAGTAAGTCCCTCCCCACCCCGCAGACTGGAAGGAACATCTGCCGTGTTTTGGGCTTGACTTTTGGGGATAGAGCTCACATTTTTTTTTTTCAATTCCAGATTTTTGCAAGTTCGAGAGTTTGAGCCCATAAAAATTGCCTTTAAGAGAGGAATGAAACCAAAATGAGTTCTAGTAAAGAGTAAAGCTATCAATAGCTCTATAGCCACCAGGATAATAGCTAGGTTGATGGAAATGCTAATCTTCTGTCTTCCGTTCTGCGGAAAAGCAGAGACAACGTGAATGTTAGACATGAACAGACCTGAGTTCTAATCCTACCCCTACCCCTCACTGTAACTGATTACCAGGGGATTATACTCCTAAACTTCAGTTTCCCCGCCTGTAAAGGTAGACGGGTGACCCTTACACCAAGATCCTTTCCCTGCCAAGATGATGGAGAAGTTTAAATAAAAACGATGACTGTCAAAATTCAGACGCAAGTGTCTTTTGCTCTGTATGTTTTCATTTCTTTCCCTTTCCTCTGTCATTAAAAATTCCCATTGCTCTTTCTTTTCAACTCATCCTTGATGGCACAGAACAGAGGATTGTTAATTAATCAGTGTCTGTATAATATGTGGAGGCTACAAGATCAGAATGTGGGAGTAACACCATTTGCATCACAATTCATGAGATGGCAGCTCCTTCAGCTGGATCCACTGCCAAGACAAGGTTTCTAATACTTGTGTTCCTGTCTTCGGAAAGTCAGTGTGAAGGTCTAGGAGGAGGTGTGACTGTTCGGCATGGACAGCTAGTCTTGTGAGATAGTCAAGCCTCTCTGGAGAGGAAGTAACATAGAGAAATGGTGTGTGTATGTGTGTGTGCGTGTGTGTGTGTGTGTGTGTGTGTGTGAGTCTCTGTGTCTGTGTATCACAGTTGAAAGGAGATCCAAAGTTTATTTCTTTGAAATGTGCAAGTCACTTTAAATCTCCTCCTCTTTTTTGTTTCATACGTTGAGGTTTGTGATTTGAATGTGAAAAGCCCCACACCAAGTTCACGCATTTGAACACTGTGTCATCTGTTGGTGGCAATGTTTGGGAAGGTTGTGGAACCTTTGGGAAGTAGAGCTTCAATGGAGGAAGTTAGTCACTGGGGACGGACTTGAGGTCTTATGTCCCTGCCCCACTTCCTATCTACTCTCTGTTTCATGACAGCAGAGATACCACGTGACCAGATGCTACTGTCAAGCCTCTCTCTCCCCAGAAGGATGGACTTACCCTTCTAGATCTCTAAGTCAAACACAATTCTCTATTTAGCTTGCTTCCTGTCATGTATTTTGATCACAGTAATGAGGAAAGTCACTAATATTTCCCAGAATACAGAAAGGTGTGACAATCAACTTCACATGGACAAGGACAGCATCCCTGGTGCTGGAGATGTCATAAAATACAGCAAAGTGCCTGTGTCCTGTGGAAGCACTAACAGTGCAGACCTCCAACCCTGAACCTCAAGGGTGCTGCTTCTCCTCTGGTCTCACTGGAGGGTACAGCTCCACTATGTTGTTTAGTTTTCGAAAACAAAACAAACAAAACAAAAAACCCCAGCACCATCCAACACTGTAAATTAAAACTTTTAATATCCACCAGGTGGTGGCAGTGCACGCCTTTAATCTCAGCACTCAGGGAGGCAGAGGCAGGCAGATCTCTGTGAGTTCAAGGTCAGTCTGGCCTACAGAGTGAGTACCAGAACAGCCAGGGCTACACAGAGAAACCCTGTCTCAATTCCCCCCCCCCAACAAAAAAACCCTTTTAATATCAAGTGTATCAATTTTGACTCTTTTTACTTTGAGAATGTAATC